ATACCCCCCACCAAAAAAAAGTGAACAAAGCAAACGTAATAAATCCTTTGTGAAAAGAAGCAAAGGGGAAATAATTTCTTAAGCTTCAACATGTCGTCACAACCACTTGGAAATGGTGACTACTTAATTATGAATTATTTTAGCTTAAGATCTAACTCCACAATATTAGAAGATAGTAGTGAACCAATCTGAGAATGACATTTTGGATTGGATAAACGTGCATTGTGTTGAATTTCCTTGTGACGAGTGATATAAGAAGCTGAAGATGCCAGCAACATCTAAAATTCAATGAGTGTAGTTTTGCGGCTGCACACTCCTGTCTCACGTGTAACCTACAGTCTTGTATATGAACTAGATGCAACAAACTTTAGTAACGCATTAAATGATTAAAGAAATTTACTTAAAAAGAGGTGCAGGCAGACGCACACACTGTTCATGGAAATATCCGTGCTCAACTAAAGCCCAGAGGGAGACAAACATTGAAGATTACTACTGCTACGGTACCTCAGTACCTACTGTAGTTCAAATACATTTGTTGGTCTTTGAAAAACTACGAACAGAATGTAGGGGCAGCACGACTCAGCGATAAAATCAACTACTGTACAAAGCAATACTTCTTGTAAGGGCGGAGGTTGTTAACAAATACGTGCATTTAAAAAAAACACGTTGTGATGATATTGATTGATTTTAACATTGAAGTGTGCGCTCCTTCTTTCGAAGTTCAGCATTTACAAAAAACGTAATTGCTCGATTGGGAGGAATTTCAAGAGAAAAAAAACAACATTCTGCAATTTCTCGTTATGACAAACAATATTAAGTTTACTTTTAAGTTAGAATAGCCATTTCCTTAATTTCAAACATTTATTTGCTTTCATGTTGAAATACTCTTAAAATAGATTCGGCTAATATACACAACTCACTGCTGTAAATGAACGAAATAATGCCTAAAAGCATTTAGACACTTGTCGTGTCCAAGACATGTCACGTAAAAGACTGAGAAACTAGTTCTAGGAACTTTATAAAACTTTGTACAGGATATAATCTTATTTCAGAGCTTCGTGTTTATTATTGAAAAGAAACTGTTCCGTCGAAAATGCCGTAGCTTTCAATAATTACAAACTGACAACAAGGAGTGAATGTGGTTTAGTGTATAATTTACCTATACGTATTTAACACGTGTTGTTTAAATAACGTTGAAGAAAGAAACAAAAACACAACTCTCCCAGTTTCTATAAATAACTGATACAACTCCAGTTAATAGTGCTGAATATTTTAAATGTTTAAAATGACGTTTGGAGTTTATTCGTCTTTCCGTACAAACTGTAACAATTAAAGCGTTTTACTTAAACTGTTATAACTACTTTAATTTCCCTAACAAAATATTGAACGTACTGTATCTACGATAACTCTTTAAATGAGACCTTAGTAATCGGAAAACATAAGCGTGTGCAAAAACGTTACCTCTGGAATCGCCCTAGACGTCTCAGGACAGACCTCAGAATACCGAAGACATCTCAGGACAGACCTCAGAATACCGAAGACATCTCAGGACAGACCTCAGAATACCGAAGACAATCAGGCCATTTTTGAAAGGACACCGCAGAGCAAACCAAAAGCAAACATCCAGAAAACAGATTAAAGAAAAGGGGAGTTAGACTATATGTTGGCTCCTATCTCTAAAAACCGAGGGGGAAACCAAATCTACAGTTAGTGCCGTTGGGTATCAACAACAACAGATAATAATAATAATAATAATAATAATAATAATAAATGCAATTTCTTCCAGGAACTAGGTACATTTTTGAGTGAACATCCAGCATTTTGTTTTTCAGGAATACCACATCTCCAACATTTTTTTTTCCCCTGGAGCAGAGCACAGGGGTTGAGGCGGATGGCGGATGGGGTGAGAGGGCAGGACTCAGACGGGAGGTGCTTGTCTCGGCTGCCATTGTTTACTGCTGATTTAGTGTTCAAGATTATCAGGGCATCTCCAGCAAGTGAGCAACAATCACAGCGTGATAGTGGCCTCTCTAATTACTTTCATTACTTCCTACTTTCACCTCATCACCCAGAGATAAAACGATCGCTGCCTCAAGGTGAGGCTAAATATCTTCCTGCCTTCCAGTTTCCGGTCTCCATATTTCAGAAGTAGAGGCGTAAGTGACTGCCACCGTAGCACGATCCAGAATGTAAGAAATATTTTAAGAAACTCCTCCCTTTAATGGGAAAATATTGCCCAGAAAGTCCATCACGGGGAAGCGAGTAATAAAGGGAAACGCCGGCGTTCTCTATCTCTTTCTCTTGCACACAAACGCATGTGTAACATGTCCAGGCACCCGACTTCGTCTCATTAAAATGCAATAGTAATTCAAGTTTTGCCACTATCGGATCCCTGTGTCATTCATATAAGCCTGGATGTTTAGGTGTCCCACGACTACTACTACTAAAAATAATGCCAGTAGCATTTAATTTCGATCAGAGGATTCTTCGTGACTGATAAGCATACAATCAGCTATTTCGGCATTGATAACATTATGATAATGTTATCTATGTTAACATTGCACTCAATGTTTAAATGTACAATACAATGTGTGATACGTCAACGGAGAATTATAGAATACAACCGAAAATCACTTGTATGGAGCGGATGGGACGAACAGTAACATTCTTTGTTCGGAAATATATTAACTCACTGCTGAGAAACAAAGTCCCGCAAGGAAAATACCTGATGTGTGAACACTCCGCATCTACTTGAGGAGGTTTAATTATAGGGTTTTAGCACGCAAGAGCAGCCAAGTAATTAGAAAATGCCACTTCGGGGTCACCTTAATCGTTTTCATCAACGTTCCTTGAATTGTAGTTTGCTGTTGCTGGGCGTCTTTTCTAATGGATCAAAGTTTTACAATATGGCACAAACATCACTCATTGCTTTGAATCTGAAAGATTTCACCCCAAATCACTTACATATTAATCATTTCAACGTCATATCCTTATTACAGAATATGCCGTTCGAGTCACTCTAAATACTGACATTTGACAATCCCAATTCTGCGTTTATCAACAACTGCATTAAGACTATCTTATTTTCATTCATCTAACACTGCGAGAATAATTTGGCATTAAAGTGATGCTGGGGCGGATTTCATATGCATGTTGAGTAGACATTTCGTTGTAAAAATCCCGATACTCCCAAGTTGATAACTAATTACAAAACAAACAAGAGCGCCGCTCGTCAACGATATTATAGCAGCTTTGTGAAATTTGAACATACTGCATTTCAATTTTGCTGGTTAAAGAAAGGTTAGCCTACGCCAAAAACGTTTACACGTTGCAACCCGGTGAAATCCTGAGACGGTCTCATCATCATCATCATCATCATCTGCGGTCACCATGTACTACTGACGGAGAATACTGGCGCGTCTGGTCCCGAGGGGTCTCAGTCTAAAACTGCCACAATCGCCCCCGAAAATCCGCTTCATTCGGCGGCGGTCTCTTCCCGAATAATGGGAAATAGGTGACGATGCCCGCTGAGATGTAAAAACAAAAGAACTCATCTGTCCATTAAAGATCCCCTCCTTTCCAATTAGGTATCGCACGACTGTCCATCTTCGGGGTCTATGCATAGTGAATGGATAAAACAAACACATTCGCTCGAACTGGAAACGTACCGAACAGGCTGTTTTGACTAAACGTGCGTTGCTGTTGTTGTAGTTGTTGTTGTTTTGCAGGACTCCTTCTTGTTTTATTTCGTTAGCTGCGCACTCGATGCTAAGACTCAAGCCATCCCGATATGTAAACAAGACCCTCATCCCCTTACAAGTTGCCGTTTGTTTTGTCTTTGGCGCGGCTCTGCATCATGTGCGCCAATATCACAACAGTTTGTTTGCATCACTGATTTCTTTTAAAGCTGCACTGGCCTCTTTTCCTGGACTGACCCCCTTCGTCACTTTATCAGAGTCAAGATCAGCCAAGCAGCGCTTTCCTCTGCACTGAAGGTGAATTTTTTGGGGTAGCACGCAGCAAGCCAAAGGAGGGAAAAAAGCCGACAGAATCTACGGTTGGCTGGATTCGAAATTTGCAAATGTGACAATAGATGTAGCTTTAAGCGACAGCATTGTTTGGTGAAAACCGTGCAGTGCCCCGTTTGCTACAATCTCTGGCGAGCACGTTTAGAGAGCCAATGCCATCATCTGCTGGTACACAAACACATAGAATTTAACGCTGACAAAAATCAGCTGCCTTAATTTTTTTGGGTTAAAAAAAAAATCTTCACACGGGTGGTGTTTCAATAGAGTCCAGCCGGCAAAAGCTGGAATGCTTTTTTTTTTATTGAAAGAATGAGCGATCAAAGAGTCCTGTCCAGTGGCTTCCTTAGGGAGTTACTCTGCTGTGAATTCACTGTGTTCTCCTACCTCTTTGCAATTCTAGTATTTTGATGTGGCTGCTGTTGTTGCTGTTGCTGTTGGGGTGCCCGTGTTGGGACTCGGAGACAGTCCTTCTCATCGGGAAACAGGCATTTCGCATTTAGAAGTGTTTAAAACATGAAGGGGGACAAGCCAGTAAACAAGTAGCGACCCCCCTCCCCCCTTCCTCCAATCTCGGGATTTTCCCCATCTCATTAAATTATATTTATGCAATATATGAGCAATGAATTATGGGTATATTCCATTGTATATGTCCATTTCAGCAGCCTGTTAACGTGGTGTCATATCACGGCATGGTAAAGAAGGACTCTGCAATCTGTAGTGGACCTGAAGCGTCTTCAGCTGCTAAGCAGCACGGGGACTTTTTTTTTTTTGCTCATTTCTGGGGGTTTTTTTTACGAGAACGCTATAGCTTTAAAAAGGGAGTAAAGACGAGGACTGGAGTGCTGTCATTTAGCGGAGAGTCACGGTGTCACGTGGTGAAATTCCTCGCACCCCATTGGTCCAAGGCACGTGTCTAGGATACCGGACTGCAACGTCACCCGGGGGACTCGTATTAAAAATAAGAACAAAAATCCAGAGTGAAAGTATTTCAGGATCAGTTAGCACCTCTTTATTTAACCTTAGTTTAGATATTGAAGCACAACTATTGGATTCACTCGGAAAACGGATCGCGTTGACTTGGCTGACGTGAAAATGTGTGTGTTTTTTTAAAAAGGAAAGAAATTAAAAGGATAGTCCAGTTTGGGAATTAACGAACAAAAAAAAAAAACTATGCTTTTTCTTTGTGAAAACGATAAGAAAGGGGTGCTCGGTGTTTAAAAAAAAACCCAAACAAACAAGAGTTGATATCTAAAAGATTTTTTTTTCCTTCTGTTAAAAGAAAAAATAAAAAAAAGGTGGAAAAGTAAGACGAAATCTCCCTTGAAACTGGAATTTGATTGTACACTTGAGTGCCGGAGAGCAAGAAAGGGGTTAAAGACAGAGAATTGGAAAGTGTATCACTATGGAAGAAAACGATCATAGTAACAGAGAAGCGGACCCACAAGAGTCGGGAGACGAGTCCAACAGAGCAATTATCCCACTTTTACAAGCGCCGGGGAACCTTCAGCTCCCGCACCGCATTACTAACTTTTTCATCGATAACATCTTGCGACCGGACTTCGGGCGGAGGAAAGAGGTAACCTTCAGTCGCGATCAGAGTCATGCCTCTCGCAGGGAAAACCTCACCCCCTCGGCACCGGGGACGGGGCAGGTTGGAGGGACTGTGGCAGGAGAAGGGAGCTCCAACCCGCACCCTGTCAACGGGGCAAAGAAAGGCGATATTGCCATCGAGGAACCTTTGAATTCCCGGGGAGAAAGTGGTGAACAGTGTCTAAGCTCGGACTCGGATAGCTCCCAAGCCAGCTCGACAACACCTTCACAGCCTATGCTTTGGCCGGCCTGGGTCTATTGTACTAGATATTCGGATAGGCCCTCGTCAGGTAAGAATCTGCGATCGCGTCCAGATACTTACTCGATACACCACGGACTTCATTGTCTCTGAGGATTTCCATATCTATTTCTTTAAAAACAAAACAAAAAAAAAAGACACCCCCCCACCACCACCACCACCAAATAAAATAAATAAATAACCAGCCAACCAGTGATTTCCTGGAAACTTGTGTTGATTTTTTTTTTCACATGATAGTTTGGAAATTATCTGGTTGGCTGACCCAGTGCACTGGAAAGGAGGGCTTGTTAACACAGAAACCTCGAATCCTGTTAAAGACACAGCACGTCGAGCTCCAAATTTTTTTTTCCCTTTACGATTTCTGTAGGCAAATGCATCACTTGTCGTAATTATTCGCATTTTTGGCCTGTGAAACCGCAGAAAAAAAACATTATTCCATTAGGGATATTATTAAACGAGTCATAATACTGAAGATGCCGAGTTCTATGTAGAATGATCCATTTTCTTTAAAACATCTATAGTGCTAGAAAATATCAGATCATAAAATAAATCAAAATTACTACATAACATTTGAAAGTATTCTAAGTGGCCTAAATATAAGCGCATACATTTATTTTGTTTTATTTAGAATGCATTTTTCCCCATTTTTTAAAGGCACTCGTTGTGTTGTTTTGTTTTTTTTTATATCCGAAAAAAACATTAAGTTATTATTCGCAGTGTTTTTAAATCTGAAAATAACACTTGACTAGATTAAAAAGAAAATCTGAGCAATTTAAGATGCAATTTCATTAATAACTGCTTTCACATTTGAAGTAGTTAAATTACTTTAAATGTATTATTTAAATTAAAATTTTTCAGTCAAAAAAAGGTTGGAATTGCAAAACTCATTTTAGCCTATTTATAGAAAATAAATACGATAAACATTAAAGGCTGTAAATTCAGAAATTATTCATCACGAATACGATAGTGTGGTGGATAATACGATTTTTGGGTTTAAAGAGACAGTTACATCAACCGAGGTATTTTTAAAAAAATAAAATGAGTAGCGGGGAGTTTTTCAAGGAATGAAAATGTAGTTTTGCGCCATTGTTCCCTCGTAGCCTTTGTTAATATTTAATTAGCATATTTTGTGACAAAGGCGTAGGCCTTCTATACCAAGCGTATTTTCGTACAAATTATGAATTGCAATAGGAACACAGATGCTAACAGGCGTATATGCATATATTCTTAGGCTACATAAATTGACGCACTCGCAAATTATTAACTACAATCCACGATTCAAGATATTGTTTTTATTTTCTATGGTAAAAAACAACAATGTATAACTTTTTTAAGTTGAGCGTGGGTGCGTTAACCTCCTTCATCTCGAAACTTGAACTTTTCGTTTGCCCTGAATATATTAAACGCTTTTTAAGAGTACTAGTACGCAAAAGCAAAGAAAACCCTTCATCTCCCTTCCAAGACTTTTCATCAATTAATTCGCCGCTTTCCGCCTTGGTTATTTCTATTCAGACATTACAATTATTTTAGGTCAAAACCCGCATAGTTCCCTTGAAATAAAAAAAAAAGATTTCAAATACTTAACAGATTGAATTGGTTTAAACTAGAAATAAATCAAAACTGTACTATTTATAAGTTTTTCTGTTTTGTACAGTTATGATAAACCCAACTTCTTTTCGTCACTGACAGAATTTGACTGTACTGTTTATTTAATAACAGTTTCAACCTTAGGATGGATAATGTTGCCCCCCCCCGCACCAAAAAAAATAATGTGAAAATTGAGATTTCGATACGATCAAACTTAAGGGCCTGCTGTAATACGAACGCTTACTCGTTACGGCATCATGATGTGCTTCACAATCAAATGTCAGGCTCCGATGCTTGACATTTCTACGGAACACGCCTATGTTTGGCCTATATATGGGAGAAATCCACGAGTGGGGCAAATATGTTATTTTAAACCCGTCTCGACGCGTTTCAGGCATTAGTACGGACAGCGGACGTGTTCTCGGACTCTCTGTAGAATCCGTCTGGTTGCAAAATCAGCAGCCTATATTCAGAACTTTTTTGGGGGGGGATTTTGTGATTTAGATGTTACAGGAGATAAAAACGGGTCGGCTGTTTTGTTTTGTTTGTTTTTTTTTTACCTTGTCGAATGAACTTCGCAGTTCAATGGCTGCAGGGAGCAATCGCGCACCTCCTTTTCCTCGCTCAGTATGCGCGCACGCACACACCACGTCCACGCTCAGCACCCTCCTTCTCCCCACATCTCCCTCTCCACGGAAGCGGTTCGTGTTTTAGCTTGAATATACATTTGCCTCATCATCATCATCATCATCATCGCCATCGCCATCGCCATCATTACTACTCCACAACTCCTACTACTACTAATAATAATCACAGTCGTAATCATCATCACCACCACCACCTTCTTCTTCATCATCAATACCAGTCGAAACACATTTCACATGTGTGAATAGCCCCCGAATACGAGAGTACATGTCTGTACATGTGAAAAAATATTGTTGTTGTTGTTGTTGTTGTTGTTTTAAAGGGGGGGATTGTAAGGAAAGGAGGGGCTGGTGAAGGACTCGCAACATTAAACCGATTCCCAATTGAATTTGACGATGTTCAGTTGTAAGGGAGTCGCCGAGCAGGCCCGCCGTTAGCCATGTGTGTTTCTTGAAAGCCGAAAGCCTAATTATACGTTTCTTGTCTCTTATAAACCACAGGACCCCGCTCTCGTAAACCAAAGAAGAAAACCGCCAGCAAAGAGGATAAGCGACCAAGGACAGCCTTCACAGCTGAACAGCTCCAGAGACTAAAAGCTGAGTTTCAGACAAACCGGTACCTGACCGAGCAACGGAGGCAAAGCCTGGCGCAGGAACTCAGTCTAAATGAATCTCAAATCAAAATCTGGTTTCAAAACAAACGAGCCAAAATTAAGAAAGCCAGTGGAAGTAAGAACTCGCTGGCTTTGCACTTAATGGCGCAGGGACTGTACAATCACGCCACGACACCGAAAGATGACAAATCAGACAGCGATTAACTTAAAAGAAAACAGAGAAAATATACAATGCAATAATTTCATAGAATAAGGGCCAGTGTATAAAATATACCAGCATTAATGGTTTAAAAATATGTATCAGATATAATTCTGCAATATTCTGTATATATTATTTACAAGTAAGGTGTTGTAAAAACTTACGTTTTTCAATCTATGATCACTTTTGTCGTTTGTTTTCTGAAATTTTAGATGCTTCTTTTAAAAAAGAGTGTTTTCATTACATTTTATACCAAGCGCTTTTGATGGCCACTTGACGTCTAAACACGTTTGACGGTGAAAAATGAAAAACCAACTTGCTGAAGTCCAAAGATTTTTTCTGCTGCATTCAGGCAACTGTGAATTTAAATAAATTGCTGATTGTTGTGCGATATTTTATTTTTTGTTTGATTTTCGTATTGTTTTATTGTTCTATTTGGCTGGTTGTTTTGATTTTGTTGATTTTTGTATTGTGTTACGAGGACATAAGCAAAAGTTGTGATTTTATGAAGAGACTCAGTTACACATTTGATGTAGGCCCATACGTATTTGTTTGAAAGAGTTTTCAATGCTTATGCATGTACTATGGGGAAAAAACATCACCGATTAATAATGCGTGCCAGAATTTTTTTAAAAAAGTTTTTACGATGACAAAAACTGAAATAATTCAAAATAAGCAAGCCCATTTCGTCATACACAATCCGTTCGGCACTGAAATCAATGTGCGTTCAAACAGGGTAACTTTGGAATAAAAAATAATAAAAGTATTTTTCTAACACAGTAACGTTTTTATAACATAGATTGGCGTGATCAAAACTAGGTAACTGTGTCACCATGTCAACTGAGTGTTCCCCGATCGAAAACATGCTCTTCGGACGTTTTCGAGTCAAATGTTTCAGTATATTGCTGTAAAATATATTTGCAATCATTTTCTAAATTCTGAGATGTGACTAAAACAATCGGCGCGATTTTAATATTTACACGCTTTAAAAACGCACAAATTCAATAAAGATTCAATAAAGGACGAATCTCCGATTTCATGTGACCCGTTTTATCGTATTTCAAGAACTATACATTTTCAGATTTTTTTTCTTTTTAACAGGAAAAACGTTTATTATATTAAAGAGCAATACAATGATTTGACAATTTTTGTAGTGCGAAAAGTTCGCATTGATATAACACTGCCTAAGACCGAAAGAAGACGACCTGTTAGCATAAAGACAATGATTTAATATTCTTACGCTACACTCTTGGTACTTGGACATACATAATGTCAGTGCCCAAACAAAGGACGTTTATGCACGTTCGAATATATCTGATAAGGATTCAAATAAGTTTCTCCCTCGTTTATTAAAATAGATAAAGGATACCGCTTTGTTGTTGTTTGCAATGAACTGAGTATTTGTTGACTTTGTATTTATATAGATTATATTGAAAATCTATCCAATGACCCATTTTGCTTTTTCGAGAGTAGATTCTGGGGTGTTTACACTACTTATTTATCATGCAATAACGTTTTTCTTTTGGTGAATGAAGACGTTTTTGGGGCCCGTGCACGAGAGCTGCAATTTGATGTATCTGGGCAAAAGTTACCTGTATAAACCTGGAACCTAGGCGACGACATTAAAATGAGGTTTTTACGTTTTAGACTGTATCCATACCAAATTGTGGATTTTTTTTGTGTGACTTGTGTTTAAGTGTATATCTGAAAAGTGTGTATGAATTTGAATCCACCAAACTAAACACACTTTGCCTTAAAAGTTCAAATGTGAACTTTTTACATCTCTTTATGAAACAGAACTGTGCTGAAAACAAAAAAAAAGTATTACATTAAATGCATTCTAGTCGTGTCAAAAATGCCTTTTATTTTAATAGCTGGGACGACACACTTCGAACAGCTAAAAAGTCTATAGAGAAATATGTAAAAAATAATATTTGCGTTGAGTACAACGCGATGGATTTTTATTTTATGTGTTTGTTTTAAAGTATTCTTTGGTATAAAAATATAATGTAAATACTTTGTATCATTTATGTTTAATTGTGTAATTAACTGCCTCCTCAGAACTGGAAAAGCAAATAAACCTCGAAGATAATATTCTTTGTTGCACATCTTTCTTTATTTTGGAATTCAAGTTTAAGTAGCGGGGTCAAGTCCTCAAACTGACTGAAGGGCGCCATTGTAGCTGTTTGACTTCGTGGTCGTGGTTTAAATCCCAAACGTTTAGGCGTTGAATGTTTTAACCTGTACACAACACACTACAATTTTGAAAATATTTCTTTGCAAGCAAAGAAACGCATTTACGCCTTTCGACGGAAATGACGTCACTGTTGTCTAATTATGATCCACTTTAGAGGACTGGGCAGCACATCTCGAGAGCTGAGTAAGATGCAGTCCATCTTTGTCTTCGTCTGTAAAAACACACAAACACAAATCGCAAACTCGGATAAAATGCAAAGTAGATTCATTTATTCGAACCTGAAAAGAACTAGTTCATAAGGATCTTTTTCAAGACCCATCACCGTAGTTGTGCACAGAAAAGGGAGAGAAGACATTGCTTGTCAGGTCTTGTGATTTTCTTTGCAGTAGGCCTGTACGTACCTATGTAAATGTGGCTTGAAATACTTGCTTTCTCTTGGTAATTACGTTAAAAAAATATCTGGATAAAATTAATAACGTTTGAAACATTTCAGCCTTCTTTTCAGTTATCTTCCCAATAAGTTATAACTGGATATAAAATTCCTGGTGAATGTTATATTGCCCTGCTTTTTATTATGGGTGGAGAAGTCCACAAGATTTGAGTTTCCACAACCTTGAAAACGTTAACTTGCTAAGAAAAAAATCACAAAACAAGTAGCCCAGATCTATGCTACAAAGTTGTGTTCCCTTACTCAAAACAAGTGATAACTGCCTCCGAAATACGTCTATTTTTACTATATTTTAAATCAAGGAAACAAGAATTTAACAGGTAAAATTTCACGCAACTGATGTGTTCTTAACAACTACACGGTATATATGTACCATTTTAAAAGGAACCATTTTCTTTAGAAGTTTCAACATGATTATCTAAAGGTCGACGGGGTAGTGTATATACTATAGTGTATAGTATGTTTTGCATCGTTACTAAGCATTCATTGGTGACTCAAAATAAGAAAACAAGTTACCGGAAAAAAAATCAAGAAAAAACTGCCGAAATAATTCTTAAAAACTGCTTAAATATGGCTAGTACTCCGAAAAAGAACAAATGTGTAATACATCTTAAGGGTAACAAATTATATTGATAATTGTTTCCAACGCAGTGTATACGATCCATAATTTCATTTTTGAAGTTTCAGAAAATGACAAAGGTAGACAATTGGCATTACTAGGGAAAAATATATGCGGCCCACGTTTTTCAAATGATTTTTTTTCAGATGTCATTTAATGTATTCTTAAACCGTGGATCGCTCACTCCGAGAAATTATAGTATTTCCAAAACACTTAAAAAAACTCTAACCATCTAATCCATTTTAGTTAAGGAAACAGAGAAATACATCGCTTAAATAAAATATTGCTTAAAATATGTCCAGAGGTCACTGTGTTACCTAGTATATTTTAAATCACCCATCCACACATTATATAGAATATGTTTATATGAGCAAACGTACAATCTCATTTAATGGAGTCAGACCACTGAAAATGTCTCCTTTTTCATCTGAGAGCGCTGCACTATATTTGCACGGTCGAAGTAAATAAAATGCGAAAATATATAAGCTACAGTATAAAAATAGAAATCATGAATGGGTTTACCGTTTCAAATAATTCAAAAACAATACACATATTTTCCTTTATGTTTTTTTTTTCATTCATAAGCAGCAACGAATTGAAAAATAGCTGCTGGAAATGTTGGGAGTTATGAGAATTGACTTGATGTATCTCATGAGCGCACCTATGACGAGATGAATCAATACCTAATTGTCATGGAACTGACAACGTCGGGTGAACTAAGTTATTTAAACACTAAAAGCCAGTTATGATGGTTTATGTTTTATGACAGGTTAATTATAGCATACCATCGTTAATTATGTGATGTGGTGTCAAATCTGAGATGTTTTTTTTTTAATAAATGAGAATTAAAGCCAACACTACAAAGCATTATAGAGAGAAAAAAATATTGACCTGATTATTTACACTCAAGTAACCCTAGGTTGCCTGCTCTTGATTGTATTATATTATACGCACAGAAGTACACGGGAATACATGAATTACAGAAGGAAAGGCTTTAAAAAAGTTTGGATGTATTGAAAGTAATCGGTACTGAAAGAAATATTGGAAAACTTCAGGATACTGGGAAAGCGGCCATTATTTTCATATTTCTGTTGCCTTGTAATTGCATGCAAATTGTGAAGTTCGGGAATGTCTAAGGACTCTGGATATACTTAGAACACTTCAATGACACATATTCTTTATAAATCTGACTTATTTGTCTCTAACTCAGAATCTACGTTGTCAACACCTCGAAAACAGTAAGTACACACTGTTAACATTCTTAAATAGTTCGCAACCAACTCAAAATCAGATAATGTTATGACTTATACTTACTTTAAGCTGTTTTTCTTTTAGTTTGAGAAAATTTAACGTTTTGAGAAATAAACTGAAATAAATCAAAATCAAGTTTTATTTCGCGTTCATGATATTCAGTGGCTTCGGAAATCCAGAATGGAAGCTAAGTACAGACTGAAATCTATATTAAAAATAGTCAACCTTCTTGCTACATTTACAATTATTTCTTACAGCAAACAGGAAAAATTCAATAGAAAAGATAAAAATGGTTCTCAAGTCAAACGCGTCTCTCCTAGATGACAATTTTTAAAGTGCGAAACACTTCATTTGTAGAAAAGCAAAGTGCATAAAGTTCACGTTTAGTTTTTTCGGTTCTTTTTAAATATCTCATGTTTGTTTCAATCGCTCTTATTAATATTTCGTATAGGTTCACGTAAGCTCTTTCTATTTCGGTTACTCGCATGTGTAACAGGCTCCTTTAGGCTCGGCGAAACCGTTAAGCTTCTTGAAGATATCTCGAAGGCGGTACACGTAAAACACTAAAAAAAAGGCAAATAACAGGACAATAAGAATGACATATTTCTTACACTTAAGTTGTCGTTCAGTTATTTTTAAGGATCGATCAAATTTGCTGACACATCATTCAACGTCAAAACACTTTGAACACCAAACTACCCTACCAGTTTTTTAAAACTCCGAACTTGCTTTCTTAACTTCCAAGTACACTGGTCATCTCAGTTAACTGGTCATGACAAGGTGCTGCACACACTGTGAGTGGCTATATTTACCCCCTATACACGCATGCCGAACTATCATCGAATCGTGCATTTTTCTCATCGTTGTTTATCGAATGTGTCACCCCCTTACATGAATATAAGCACTGCGCAAAGCCACATTATTATGCTCCATATTGTTAACACACTCTACACCAGTGTTACCTGAGGCTTCTAAATTTTGCTTAGAAAAAGTTGCAAACACAGAAAAGATCTGGCACAAAAGAAGCTGTCTGTGAGGACCATTTCCCAGCATTGACCTGCTCTTCAATGCTAAAGAACTGATCTGCATTTCTATTCTTGCCCTGCTTGTATGTGGAAGTAACGCCCAACGGTCACTGACTTGATGAGCTCGGTGCAGAAAAAGGCCCATGCTTCTCAGACACTCTACACTGGCTATGAATGGAGTCTGTGGCCAGGAGACCCTGATGAAGGTCAAAGCCTTCTGTCACAGCTGCAGGTGGTTCATTTCCTCTCCCCCCAGCACTTCTACACCTCTGAATTCAAGACATCCCTTTAAGGAATCTCATTAACTCGGTGGTTTTCGCGTTTTCATCTCCAAAACCATTTTTGTGTCTTTCTTTCCCACACCAGGAGCAAGCAATAACCCAGTGTTCATAACCTGCTCAGTTCAATACATATCCACCCCATTTTCAGTCCCCTCTTCCTGGTGGGGAGTTGCCGTCTGTAGGCAAACTATTTTGTCACAAAACAAATAAATTGCCACAAAAAATTTAAGCACTTAACCCTTTGAAAGCTTCAGCAATTCAAATGCTTTGGCATTCATCACTTAACTTTCAAGAGGAAAAAGGAAAACTATCTTGGAGCTCAGTTATATCTTTAGAGGCTTTTAAATGACTTTTTCTGAAGAGGTTTTAATCTAGAAGTTGTTGACTGTTTCAGAACAACAACAGACAGCGGCTTGTCTACCTTTAACAGGCTGTCTGGAAAGAAAAGTGTACAACCCGTGTCTCGCTTGAAACACTTTTAAAACTTCTTGTAATGAAATCTTCTCTTTCAACCCCTCTCGACTTTTAGGTTTTAAAAATTCCTCACACGTCCGCGCGTCGAACACATGGGCCAAATTTCAGAAACCCGGGGCCCGTGGGCCGAAGTTTCACTCTTGCAAACGTTTCTGGAGGTGAGAAGCAGTCCAATCAGAGAATATCAGGAAAAGTATTGACGGGCCCTGTCTGTCTTCCACACAAAAAGCTGTCCTGTCCCCCTCCCCCACTGAGTTATTTATCCATAGTTTTTAAATGCTTCCTAGTCAAACTTGAATATGCAATGAAGCGCCAGAGCTTTGTGGCGGAAATATAATTAAAGTGGTGAAAGATGTAAAAGGTGAAGAATAGGGATGACATCAGGCCAATTTCACACTTGGCACTCGGATGGCCGGGCCCAAGCTAGGCTCTTGCCACGCAACACAGATCAAAGCACATTGCCACTACCAAAAGGCAAAGGGGACTTAAGTATGCTAATCCCCAGGACAAATATATTTTAATCTTGTTAGAAGACAAGTTAATGCTGCAGCTCAGTGGCTGAACTTTGTCAGAGAAGAGAGATCCATTTTCCTACAGTTCTGAACGAGGTGGACCTCCTGGTTCATTCAGACTGAATTTGGGTCCTTTTACAAAATAGTCGACCATCCAGTCCACATACCCCCTTTTTAAAAGAATTCATTTCATTAGAAACTCCAGCAGTCAAAGTCAGTGACCTTGCCTGAAACCCCGCTAGGGCACCTAACATGCATAGGAAATGAGTATTTAGTGGTCCAGTTTGTAGCGTCACATTGATTCCTTACCAACAGCACCTTGGTAACCCTTGATCCGTCATGTATTATCGCCAAATCCTGGACTTTGAGGGACGGCTGTGCACACAGAGAATTACTTCTAATTACACCGATTCTGAAGCCAGAAGCAAAACTCCCGAATTTAGCAAATGTTTACAGAAAAATAAAATTAATGTTCCTTGCACCAGGAACTATTAGAGAAAGGCTTTGCACACAGCAGACACCACAGGAATATTTTGTGCACTGTCTCATGTGCACCACTCAGCTTTTACAGATCACTCTGTGCTTTTAATTTCACCGTGAGTGAAAGTGTGTTTAAATACTTGAAACATCTAACTGTGAACGCCTAAAATACTTTACAAAGAAAGGTAGGCTCTGACGTGACATCTGATTTAATCGGTTTTGGCACGGCTGCAAAATTAGAATCACTGCTTAATTTTTGTGGAGTGTTTTCTGAGAAACTGGAGTTCAGCGCTACAGCCTAACATGTTTCACATTACAAGGCATTATCTGAATCTATTTGTCTGAGAGGAGACAAACACGTTTAGCAAAAAAATCAATTTACAGAAAATTTAAGGAAGGAAAATCTTATTTAGAAAGGCCTAGGGACCAACCAGGTTTGGTGAATTAGTATAATTTTATGTGGTATATGGATTTGGTCACTGTGCAATATTATGAGTATTTTGGAAAGAGTCAATTGGAGGAAGATGTCCAATACAGCATACTGAAATGTTTATTTATGAAAATGCGACATACTCACAGTCTGACTTGTAGTCCGAGGCTGTATATCACTTAGATCTCAGTTCCTTTCTGAAAAAGGATAATAAAGTCAACAAAATCCTGTCAGTGTTCAAAAAGCTGTCATATTTGACTTTAAACACAGCTTTTTTAACTTAATCATGTTCTCAACTAACTTTTGTAAAGCAGTATATTTTGTATTTTAGTTCTGAAGTAACTTTAAACGTATTTGCCAAACTCAAAAACAAGTAAATTGTAAGCACTTTTAGCATAATCTGCTATTAAATATACAATATTCAAATACATTGGCCAAACTTTGCTGATATTGTCAGAATATCAAACTTTAACTGTATTCCACAATAAAGAACAAGTCAAAGCTAATATCTTTTAGTTACGTACTCTAATGCCTCTGTTACATTGTCAGTATTACGCTAAAGATTGCTAAATTGATGCTTAAAACACACACAGTTCATTATTTGTGTTATGTGTATGTTTAAGAGTATATGCTTGATATATAAATTTTTACTCTGCAAGAATAAATTCAAATCAAGTGATTACTTGCTTTCCAACTGAATAAACCAGTTTTAAGTTGCTTTGACAAAATACTGGTGAAATCAATCAAAAATGTTGCCAAATCATTTGGCAGATAAAAGAAAACAAATTTCCAGGATATTTTTACAATAAGAATATCAGACCAATGCACTTTATTTACCCCTGATGCTTTTTGTTTAGTTTGCAAAGTACCAGAAGACTTTAAACTACATTAGGCAGGGACAATACTATGGAAAATATCCATTGTAATATTTTACTTGTAACATTTATTGTATAACAAATGTTCAGTAAAATGTCTGACGGTCATTTTTCGAATAAAAGCTATAGGATATTAACATATTCCTATAACTTAAAAGTGAATGATTTTTCACCAAAACACATCTTAAGATCTATGAAGTGATTTTCAAATACGTGAGATTAGAAAATGCTAACAGTGGACATCTGGTGTGAAATTTGTTTTGCACATTATTTTCCGTTTTAGTTCCATTATACATAATGCAAGACTAAACTGATTTTTTTATTAGAGCAAAATCCCTTGGAAAACTCCTACAAGTTTAATAACAAAAAAACAACTCTCACGTAGCCTGTTTATGTACAATTTTAAAAATGAGCAATAACAGATTTATGATTAGACTGTGGTTATTAAAGAAAATATAACATATACTTAACATAAAACATCTACATTTCAAAGGAAAATTTAAAAATAATCATATAGAATAAATCTATATACTACAGTATTTGGATTCAGCTTTGTATTCAGAGAGCATAACGTTGCATTTAAATTCTGAAAAATATTTTAAATGGAAATGTAATAGAAATGTTTAAGAAGCATGTACTAAATATCCTTCCTACTTCATAAACTAATTTTCACTGCAAATATATTTTAATAAAAAGAGGTATAGTTTTGACCCATTTGCTTAAAGCAAATGGAATATTTTACCAAAAAAATAGTTAAGCTTAATTAAACATGTTCCTTATACTCTTTATGTTAATAATTAAGCTCACTTCTGCATAATTGTTCTTTTTATTCCAGGAACAGATACATATACGACATATGCAGCAAAGAATGAAAATGCTCACCTGCTGTCACAATGACTGCAATTGAGCGAAACCGCAGTTGTTAATTATAAATCGTTAAAATTAATTATTGCACGAACCAGCGCTTATCAGTGTTCATTAGCTTTCTGCAACCCATGTGCTTCGATTCCAAGTCTCCAAAAGTTATAAGTCATTGGAAAAACGGCAGTTCTACAAACAAAGCAGCGAGCAAGTTAACCTTTATATTGTAATTATTCTTCACATCTCTTCCATTTTGACCTTTCTTACTTGAGTATGACCTTATGAGTCAGAACTGTGTCAAGTTCAAAAATAATATGATAATTATGACCTACACCCATCAAACTTACCATTCCATTACACATCAGCAATACCCTTTAAGTACATTTGTTTTCAGATTCCTTTGGAAAAAATGTAATACATTGTTTATAATATATACTGTATTTTCCTAGGCATAATTAGGATGGAAAACATTCATTAAAGTGACATTTTGAGTTTGAAAGGAACATCCAGGAGTATAAGAATGAAATATGTTCATTCTGGATTGATTTTAAGAATATTTTTATTAAGAGGAATACACACCGAGCATTTAAGATGTTGGCTTGTTTGCAATGATTTTCTTTTTCATATCTGGTCCATTTAGTAAAATTAGTATAGCACCAGAGAAAATCCTATTTTTATGCTTGTTCAGCCCTCCATTTTGTTCTTCATAAAAAGTCTCTTGTGATGATGGTAGCAAATATTTTTACCCCTTCCATGTCTTTGGATACATGATACAGTTTTATGAAGGCACATTTTAAATATAAAACGGGATTTCATTTTAAAACTAAAGTGATGGATTTTTAAGTACGCTTTTAGCACAAATTTGTCATGTACTGTGCAAACTAAAATTCTTCTTCTTGACATCGAATCAAGCACGCAGTTTTAAAGTGAAGTTTAAACCGCAACCTGTATCGCCTGAACTCGTGTATGCAGTTATTCGTTTACACATTATCACGAGAGTTTAAAAAAAAGCATCAGAATGTACAGTAGATTTTAGTGGTATAGAAAAGCAATTCAAATCAGCTTTGAATTTACTGAAGATGACAGGAGGAATTACTTTTCAAAGAGGTCAAAAATTCAAAACTACCAGTTTAATCTGAATGTAACAGTGTTTTGTTATGAAGTGTCACTGAAAATCAGTTGATATTTAAAGGCTCTACTTTTAGCCATTGTAAAATGATTGTGAGCTATGTATTATAAGTGACAATTTGCGCAAACCCATTTGACCAACAGGTACAGTACATTTACATTTAAGGAGTTTATGATTAGAAAATGATAAAACTTTAATATTAAAACAAACTTTATTAACAGTTAAAAACATTTAAAACACAAAGCTCTCCGTTTGTTCTGACCAATAATGCAACACGCATTTGCCCCATTATGGTGCTTTTCCTCCCCTTTTTTCTTTGTTCTTGATCTCCTTCAGCTCCAAACCATATTATAGTTCACCACGGGAGACAGGGACACCTTTACACAGACCTGAATAAGAAAAAAAAGTATTATTGGAAAAACACTGACAAAAATACCTCCTTTCTCTTAAACCTTGATCTATAAAATTTAAATCTGTACAGAAGTTTGAGAATGGCATGCATTTCAGGATAGGCTACACAGTTATTTAATATACATATTCTAATGTATTGAATGCACGCGTAATCTAAAGTTAAATCAAGTCATTTATGACTTTGAACAAACTAAATCCAATAAGGGAATGTCAACAAGCTACATAATAGTTGCATTAAAAATGCAAATGGGATATTTATTAAATTAATATGGCTGTTAAAAATCTACAGAAACCCATGCTGTTGAGCTTAGGTATTGTAAATAATTAACTTTACATTTGCCTGTCAGGTATCTAAATGATGGATATTCTTTGTTTAAAGTTACAATTTCCTAGATCGTGGAAAAATAAACCGTGCTATGGAAGCATCCATTGTGTCTAGAAATTAATCTAAATATGGGGTCATAAGCATTTGTAAAACAGTACACTTGCTAAAATGCTGCGTATTCTTTGACCATTTACTGTAATGCAAGAAAATGTGTTATGTGAATAAGGGATACTTAGGCGTACACTCCTACAAAATCTACAAACATTTATTCAGCTTTCCACTAAAGGATGCAAACATCCTTATGACACCTTTGCACAAACAGTAACCATTCCAATTAAGATTGTGTGCAGTTCACCGATTCTAGAAATGAAAGCTCTGAATGAGATTCTGACCCTCAGAAACATAACTAAGACATACATGTAGTTTCAGAGCTAAAACATCTCTATACATGTTGGGATAAACAAAAAGATCTAGCAATTCCACTGCTTTACAAATGCACTTTAAGACCGATTTGGAGTCTGAAACATAAGGTTTTACTACATTTTATTAAACCTTTACTCTGCCTGACATAGTAGCGGGACAGAAAACAAATATCTGCGACAAAGGCTTTGGTTGTATTGAAAACAGTGACCTTAATAAATGCTCCAATTAAATTAAAAGGTTTCACATCCTGGATTCAATTTCTAAATCCCATCAAGGTCTATTTTGTTTTATTCATGATGTGGCACTCATAATTCATACTCCAAACATAAGGGGCATTCAGTCCTATATTTATTTCACTTGGCCATGTAAACAGAGATCAAAAGTGACTGATTTTCTTAAACACAAAAAGACAAAAGAATATATATAGGATAAAAACAGAGTATGGGGTTCCCTGTTAAAGAATTGCTAGTTTTATTCATAAGCAGTTCCACAGCATGGAAGCACTGCGGAGCTCAGTGAAGGCACAGCCACATCACATCTGAAACAGTACCTGATACTTCGCTGCAGAGCTTGTCGGCCACATGGTCTGCCTCTTGGGCGAACAGCGAAATTATATCATCTTCATACTCTTCTACCACGCTTTCACACTGCGAGGGGAGAATGAAAATAGACAGATTTACACACTGCGAAGCCCTGGAAGTGAATCATCTTCACAGGGCTGATCTGAAGTGCGCCATTGCACAGAACAGTGGGCATGTCTTTGTAACACGGTGCCATTTTATTTTTGCGTTACAGCTGAACCATTCTGGAGCATCATTATGCAGAAAGCACCGTCTGCATCATATCCTTGTTGGGATTCCTTTTGTTCAGTTACACAAAAATGACCTTGATATTACACAAGAAGTTCTTTTTCAGACAACACGTAAAGAGTTGAAAATGTAGCCTACAACGATAATGAATGCATCCTTTTTTAACATAGCACTGTATGTCGTTTTTTTTTCCAGCATGACTAGTATTCTGACAATCTATGTTTAATATATTATCTCAGCTATATAAAGAAAAAAATAAAACAGAACAGATTATTCTATGTAAACATTTAACTTGAATTATTTAGTTAAAGCACAATGTCCACCAAGACTAGTTTAATGCTCCATAATTCTTACATAATTTTTTATCTTTGAAAATTCCAGAAATTACCAGCTCATAACACTTACTGGATAGACAACTTGACCTACAATATGAATCATTTAAAAGCCAGGACTTCTATCATTTATGCTCTATGGAGCTAGACTGGACGAAAAAAAAACTTTACTGAAAGATTTTTTAAAGTGTTATTAGACTGGCCCAAATGGATTACTGACATGTTCAATTAAAAATATACATCTTTGAAAGGGACACTGATAAATCCTCAATCACAGGACATTTTAATACCACTTCACGATGACAGGCTGGTGTTTTAATTTCATTATCATAGAAGATGGTCTCAGCTCACTAAAGTTGTTATACTTGGATAATTTTCATAACCAATTGTGACAACTCACAAATAAGCCCAATTCCTAAAAAACATTTTGATCTTGAACATTTATGTTTAACTTGAGTACAGCTAAAATAAATTCACCTTATAATATTAAATATTTTTCAAATTTTCCACATAAAACAAGTAGTTAAAACACAAATGCAATAACATTTAAGACTGCATACATAAACTGGACTCTGGATGTTTTTGTTTATTTTATAAATATCTAAAATAAGATTTGGCCTTGAAGGCCCGAACACTTCTCCATATATCTTTTTCTACACAAGTCAATTAGCAGTATGCCAAATTCATTTGAAAAATAAAAATTGAGAAAGCAGCATTTAATAAAAAAAAGAACTGAGAATATACATCTCTGTCCGATAAGGAAGAAAGAAATACATAAAAACATACTTACAGCAAATTTTAAGGAATTTGAAGCCTCAGGACCCTCACCGAACTGAAAATTCTGAAAATCTCCAAAACCACTTTTGTCATCATCCCTTGGAGCAAACCTTTTGTAACGCTTTTCTTTAGTGTCTGGGTCCACATAGAGAGCATAATCACTCATGTTGTTGCAGACATCTTCCAGCAGCTCAGTTAAATGAGTCTCTGATCTAGCGAGTGGAACCTAACAAATTTAAAAATAAATAAAAATGAACAAAAAGTTCTAGAAATTATTGCGTATTATGCAAAAAAAACAAACAAACAACCATAACCATTATTTTGTCCCGGAGAAATTTTAATAAATTAAAATTTGTGTGTGTGGGTGTGTGTTGGGGGGGTGGTGTGGGGGGGGGTAGTATTCCTCTGGATCGGTGAGCTTTTCTGTAAGTGAGCCAATGAGAGCAAATGCTTGCCTAATCACTGTAGTAAAATGATGCAGATATTCGAACGAAGCAAAAAAAAAAAGAAGAATTTATACAATGTAACTCGAAGTGGTGTCATCTCTCCCAAAGGTCTCCCGCCAACAAAAAAACAAAACAAAAAAGAGGTTCTCTTAGTTACTGGTTCTGTCAGACTGCAAAGCATCTGGGCCACCACTATGCCCCCACCACCTCCTTTCTTTTTTCCACCCTAAAAAAAAAAAAAAAATCCCCTATACCATCTTTGTGGCTCTCTGAACCAACTGCATGAAAGGTCAAAGTGCGCCCCTTCCCCTTGGTAACAGGACAAAAAATGCTCTGGCGTCTAGACGGGTCAAGGTGCAAGATGCTCCTGCCCCTACAGCTTCCTCCGGAAGGAGGTGTGAACCACAGCCAAGTGCAGGGTAAACAGCAGAGAGGCATCCTCTGGCCTTTGAGGGGCTCCTTCTCCTCCACCCTCCACTGATCAAAGTAGGAAGTTTTCGTGTCAACCGTGGTCAAAGGGGATGAATTGCAGATGAACTCTATTTCGGCAATGTAGATATATCCAGACTCCATTGTCTTCTTTTAGACACAGTATGGTCCCTTCCGGTCTCAGTGCTTACATTATGGGAGCCATTTTCACATGTGTGCTTCCTTGACACAAAGAGGGCCAGCGCCGTGCATCGCTGCCATCTGGTCACGATTCGTATAAAAGGTTCTCCCGGCAACAAAACCAACCTTGAAAACGCCAATTCTAATTCCCTCCCCCCCCCCCCGAACAAAACTGTTCCTACGGGGCGCGACGACAAAACGCCCGTTCCCCCCTCCCAGCACAAACCGAAGAGGTGGAAATGTTGCCGACTTTGTAATGCAGAAACAAAAGCGCTTCCCTCCAAGTTGCGAGCGGGATTTGTGCAAAACCAGCGGTAGCTGAAGTTGGAACCAAACATCACAAAATATCATCCAGTCCATAAAGTGTTGTTGTTGTTTTTTTAACACCATCCTGCTGAAGTCTTTTGTTCATTTTTCAACTGTGCACAAAAGGACACCTTTTGTATTTGATAGGGAAAAAGGTTCTAAACGGAAAACAATGGTTTAATTACAAGCTTAGAGTAAAATACAAAATCTTTCCTTCAGATCTCTTTTTGAGGCTTTAATAGGGCATCCTCAGCTGAATTGTTATCATGCAATCCTGAAAAATGGTTGAGAATTAAATTCCTTTCCTTAACAGTCTGAAGGTTTTGAATAGGACCTGTCAATAAAGAATTTCCAGAGGAATAAAAAAAGGGTTAGGCTGCCCTTCCACAGAAAAGACTTCTCAGGGATACCATCCTCAATTGAATTCCCATTGGAAAGACAGCCATCATTGAAACTTAATGAAAGAATTCTCCATTTATTTTGTATACCATTTGAAAAGTAGATACTTCATGTCTGAACAGAGAAAAACTACAATATGTCTAATGTCCAAATGTTCTGTTTCTCCGGTACATTTGACCCACTATATAACGTATTATGATTATCATTTAAGTGGCTTTATACCGTGTAAAACAGAACTAAACTGCAGTTTGTTACATATTTTAATTTGGTTCATTTTAACCCAAATGGTGAGAGAAGAAGTCTATTTTTACAACACTATTTGTAAAGAAACATCTTTTCACGCGGCTGTTTTCCAGTTCAATTGGTTTTTGTAGCACAAACAAAATACATCCTGGGAGTTTGGGCACAGTGTTTAAAAACTTCAACAAAGCTGAAAAATATTCAAAACACTTTCATTAAACATGTACAAAGCATTAATATTTATATTTTAATCATACATGCAATATAGAAAGAATATTTACCACATTTGTTAACAATGAGGATATTTAGGGATGCATTGCTGAAGCACAACTACTTTGCTTTAGGGCAAGCCATGTGGAATATATGAATACAGAGTCTCACTATGGGGTTTAGGGAACTATAATTTGCATTTATTTTAAATGAATCCACTCTGAGGAACTGCGTATAAGATTTCTTCATATAATATGCAAATCAGATCTCAAGTTTTATTTTATTGGACAAAATGACTGGAACAGAAAATAACATTTAACTCCGAAGAGACCTAAAGTAACACTTAAAGAGATTTAAATCAGTATGTGAAATGAACAAGAACTGACATAACACCTGGTGCTACAGAGCAAAATGTGTTTATACCTACCACACGGCACACATTGATACAATATGTAACTTAATTGTGTCTGTGGCAGAGATAAATAATGAATGTATTTAAATTTCATTGTTAGGTCGAAACAAGATTTTTTTTAAACCAATACCTCTATAGAATAGGAGAACACTGCTGTATGTCAGGACCTAAAACTAATGTTCTGTTTCCATTCCATGTGCCAAGCATTTAATTAGTAGAAAAATCAACATGCAACATAAAAAGGTCAGCAGAAAGGGACAATCGGATATTCAAACAATAAAGCATAAGAGGAGGTGTTCTATTCTGGCAAACAATTTTGTCAGCGTTTGGTAATGTAAATAGCAATGTAGTCCCAAGCAAATCAGAACATATTGCCTGTGGTTTCTAAAGTGTCAGTCACTGCCTCCAGCCCTTATTTAATGAAACCCCCTGAAGTCTTTTTAAACAAAGTGTGAAAAACAAAATCCTGTGGAGAATACTGCAAACAGTACAAAAAAAAAAAGTATCTTTCCATTACATGAAATAGCCAGTTTTAATGTAGTGACTTCCACATCTTTGTCTTCATAAAATAGGTATATTATAATGCTTTAAAAATAAATCTGGCATCGAGGATGGGTTTCTTCTTAAGTTTTCAAAACAGGAAAAACATTTTTGCAAAGTAAAAATGTCAAACACGTTTTTAACTGCAGTACACAATGGCATAGTAAAAACATTGCATTCATTAGAAACATGCAGCATCTCTAGACTGAAAAATTAACCCTGTAAATATCTTAAAGTCTGGTAAAGCCTATACATTGTTTGCCTAAAACATTCATGTAAGTGTGAGAAAGGTGAAACTGAAGTAAAAGGAAAGGTATATTTTAAAAAAAACTATTTTAAACGGTCTTTTGAACTACTTCAGATGCTCTCCTTGTACTATTAAACAATGAACTCCCGCAGACTGAGTGAATACCATGTTATCATCTATCAATTAGAATCAAAAAAGGATTAACCCCCAAAGCTGACAGAAAAGAGCAATGCTTTACTACATTCACAGGATATCAGGGGTCATGCTTCTTACTTTATCTGCCCTGACCCTTTGAGACCATCGAATGGTTTGATTAAGAGCAAATCGAGCTTCTAGTTAATATAGCCAGCATTTATTTTGCTGCAAGCCAGGGCAAACGTGTTAAGATCTTGATGTGAATTTTGCCCTTGCATCTTCTCAGCAGAGAAGAAATACGATTACCCTTCACCAGGTGACAACACTCAAAATCTTAAATGTGCTCCGAAACACATTGTTGTTCCACCACCAATCACTCTCCTCCCCAACGCCAAATGCTAATTTCTGAAATCCACATCCAACTAGAACATGAAACGTTATCGGATTAAAAATTCCTGAGATATAATACATTTTGTTTAGTATATGTGTTTTATGGGCTAGGGGGTCACTTTAAATACATTTCCTCCACAGCGTGCCACAAAAGTAGAGCAAATCAATTGCAGTGTTCTTCAGTGATAACTCTTAAATGCAGTACGTACAAACAACTACTGTACACAATGGATGCCTAAAAATTATTGTCCCTCATTCAGTCTGCATATGTCCTTTGCAATTAAGAATGCTGCAAAATGGTCAGTTATTACACATACCTGCTATTAATGCTTAAATGATGAAGCATACACAGCACTACAAATGAGAACCCATTTTAGTACATTACAAAGGAGACCCAGGATCGAAATACTGTGGATTACACAAAACTGCGAACAAATTTACACAGTATTAAAAAAAAAGTTTTACACAAGTGGTATCCTATAAGATACCTTTAAAGTATGTTGGCCAGAAGCTAACAATTTTATAACTTAAATGTCAAAGTTTTTTTGGCCATTAATCTCTGCATGGTATATGGTCAGCAGAAACCTCAATTCAATAAAGTGCAATCCCAATTTAGGTTGAGCACACTACCTCACCAACTGCAGTTGAAGTTCACACTTATTTTTAATGCTGTAGCTTTCCATTTGTATGATAGATGTGTACATGATACTAGCAAACTCAGTAATTGGGCAAATAGATTTTAAACAAAAAAAAATTAAAAGTTTAACACCATTACAGGGATACATTAATGTAAGACGTTTTTAAAGAAATGAAAAATTACCCAAAGCAACTTGATTTTTAAGATCTGTGCTAACACACAATACATCATAAATTAATTAACATCTTAAAAGTGAAGTATATAAAGCAGCTTAGAAATAATCAGTTTTAACCTGTAACATAATACTGCATTAAAAATGCAAAGTTTATACTAAAGCTTCTGAAGCAAAGCAATATTTAAAACCAATGTACAAAATTAGATGACTCATTTGCTTATCTGCTGCAATTTCTTATGATCATTTTGGATGCATAAATAAATTCCACCAAGACTATCTCCAGATTTTCTTCACTTTTACTTTAAGAACTTAATGGTAAAAATACCAGCAGTTAACTACACATTTTTATAGTATACTTTGAAAATTAAATAGGGAAGAGAACACAAGAAACATGTCCAAAATAATTTTGTGACTGCAACCTGTTAATTCAAGTTAAACTAGACTTTTTAAAGTGCATATCAATCCAAGTTTAAAATAAACTTTTGGTTATTTTATATATATATACACACACACGCATTCTAGAATGTACACAAAACTGAATTAAACAGATGCAGTCTGCCTTGAAGCAGAGTCTCTATACAGACTAAAGCATGCGTACATCAAAGCACATAAGATTTTAGTAAAAAGCTTTGCAAGGCAACACTACAGGTTATGAGTCTATATGGGAAAACTGTACCTTTTTATCTTTCAAGCTTCCATCAGGATTAAGTCTGAAACTTCCTACATGGATGGTCCTCTTTGGGTCCACTTTCTTGATTGAATAGTTCAGCTCGTCAACAACTGCCCTGCAAGCTAAAAGAAAAAAAAAACTATTACCTTGTTCTGTAGAGCCTAAGAAGTGGAAAAGTACAGGAACTCCCATCACTTTCATATTTGTCATTAAAACTTTTAGATACCAACATGAATGCGTTTATGTACTCCTGGGTCTGAGAATTGCTTCAAAATTCAAAAAGTTCTAAATCCATTTAGACAAAACAGTGAGAAAACGGATGCAATGCAAGTCTCGAGAAGCATTTGCCGAGAATTCAATACAAAGGGCCTTGATGGAAATTTAATCAGCGAGTAGAAACAGCTGGTTTATTTTATAGTTGAGCACATACATTTAGAACCTTTTAGAAAAAGTGAGTACATTTAGAAAAAGTGTATACTACCATTCAAATGTCCAATTTATACTCCTAAGATATTTTGCAGAATACAGTTTTTTTAATCACTCATATTTCTAACAAGATATAATTTGTGTACTTTAATTTTGATCTTTTCTGTAAAAGCAAGAATTCAGACTTTTTTTTTAATATTTGAGAGGGAATGAGGTGCAAACAACGATTCACACTCTATAGACAGGAAAAACTTCAACACTGTCAAATGTTTTGCAAGAAAGTTGCCAGAACATTCTTCCATATCATAAGTAATTACAAGGCACCTTGAGAGGACTATTCTTACACTCATGATGAAAAGACTGGCATTAAAACACCAATGTATGAACAAGTAAATAACTTGTCATCCTTCGCATTCACAGGCAACCAAGGATATTTTATTTTTTCCCCGGAAGAGTGTACAATTGGCTTCACAAAGAAATGGCTTCACAAAGTAAAGGTCCACCATTTTCTTTGTGAAAAACAAAGTTTTCAGGTGTTGGAGGTTTCTCTTTGATTGAAAGCCGTCATTGAAACAATTTACCAATCAAGCTTCGGTTGCTACAAATAAAGCCAAATAAAGTTTAAGGCCAAAAGTACCACAGGCTACAACAGCAAACGGTAATCTGTGAATTGTTGGACTCTCATTTTATTTTACCATCTCCTCCTGAACACCGACTCTGCAGTGTTCCATTACCTTTATGTTCACTGTACTACGATGACAGAACCATTGGTTTTCATACAAGTTTCTCTCTGTCATATAGAGTGAAATCCAAGAAGAAAGCACAGCCTTGCCTTCATCACCCCCAGCACAAACAAAAGTAACAATAATGCTCTTTTCCCAGTCATGTGCCTTTCCATTGACTGGAAGGCAAAGAGAAGTGTCGTGAGGATGACACCTAAATATCCAGATCCGCTTCTTTTGACATTGGTTCTCTGCATGTCGGATAAATTCCAAGGATGAACCTCCAGGATTGTTTATTTTGTTGACGAGTCTGGACAGCCAAGACGATGGTACACTCTGTCGATTCATGCAAAGCGGACATTGGTTCATAGCTCATTCTGGTATGATAAACATCTTAAATCTAGTGAAACATGAGGTGTGCATCTTACTCACCAAAGAAGCCCATAGTGAACTGACCGTCTATTGTATTTTAGATTCCTTATAGAGTTTTTCCATCCTTTTTTACTCTTAACTGTGAGCCGGCCATCCATATAGCAAAGGACAGTCGGAACTATTTAATTGAACAGGTATTCTGTAAAAGAGCTCTTGGTCTAAAGAGCTCAATTAAAACTGCTGCGATGTCCTGAACAGAACAGGACATTTAGTTAAAGCTTGGTCACACTTAGCACATAGGTAACTGCAGCACAGCAGGCAAGTCTAATCAATCACTTCTGAACCTTCCGGATGTTTTGGGAAACTACATCAGTAGTCAGAAACAATCCCCACAGAGTAGAGACAAGAATTCTTTATTAAAAAGACCCCTGTCAAGGCGCAAGATACATAACTACTGTGACAAATACGTTTCTTCAAAAGGCCAATGAGCCAACAATTTGTTTGGGTGTGAAAAACAGAGCATGCAACTTCAAATTTCATTAAAAAAAAAACCAAAACAGTTTTGAAGGGGCCGAAACACAAAACATTTAATATACACAGAATCAATGCTTACAGTCTAAACATTCGAGGGATTTTGTCACCTCCCTTCTAAAACGACGTTCTTCTCTGTGATCTCCGGCAGGTCCTGAAAGCCCAGTAGGCGAGCCTGTCACTTATTTCAGTCTTCACTTTCGCCCTCTAAAATACCATGGCTGTGAAAGGCATTCGGGCCGTTTTAAAAACTGTGCACCAGTGGGAAAGGAAGGTGAAAACAAAATTGGATTTGCGGGGGGAATAAATAAAACTGGTTAAAATTTTTCCATCAGATCCAATGGGGTGCAAAGAAAATTTAAATCTGAGGGATTGAGATGGTGGTGGGGTCTTGAGACATACTACATAGCCTGTCTAATCATGTTATTTAAGGTTAACTAAGAAGTAGCTGGAGTCCCTTCACTGCATTTTTACGCTTATAGAAACTGCACTGAGCTCATAAAACCCAACCCTTACGTTTCCTGAGAAGTTTTAAGGAAATACATTGGGGGGAAAAACGTCCAGACAGTCCTCTCCACTGATTGGTGCTGCTACCATGATATTCAGACCCGTACAACAACTGTGTTGGTGAAGGAGTAACATGCAAAGTTACGATAAAGAGCAGGGAACCTCGAATCCAGATTAACACAAAGTATTCAGGAGTTAGTGTATTAAAAAAAAAAACTAATAACAACTTATTTTGCATCCATGTTGTTTTCAACTATGGTTTGTCAAATTAAACGGAACGCGACCCTCTAAAACTGGAAACTTTTTTTAGTCTGTAGCAAATAACTCTTGTGCTCACTGAACCGAAGCTCCACCCACATAGTTACTGTTGCTAGGCCTGACAAACCCGCATAATGACAAAGCAGAAGGCTTATTTGAAAGCCCTTCTGTCAGCATTTTCCGCAACAATTTGCGATTCGTTTGAATATACTGACCACCAGTACGTGGGGCGTATAAAATTATGTGAATATTCAAAAGTAATCATTATCAATAAACACTCTGAACCCATAACTTGTCTACTAAAATAGAAGAGCACGGAAAACTAACATACACAATCAAAACCCTAAGCATTATGCATACATTTTCAGTTGTAGCTTATATTTAATATAATAATCACATCTGTGAATATTCAAATGGACAGAAGATACTGATCCCTCCTCTCCTTTCCTCCCCCTTCCGCTTTTCTGTTTTAAACTCGCACTTGTCAATCGCCAATTTATTTTATGCACCCTTGTGTCAGATTATAACGCAGCAGCTACCCGAAAAACCAGCACAACCCTGGTCTACCGACCACCAAGGGGATTCCTGGCCTCAACATCGGCCACACTCCAACGAGCGATCCCTGGATTACAGGGCCAGGCCCTCTGTGGGCTCTAAATGAAAGAACTCCCTATTTACTGTAAATCACTGGAAACAAGAAGGACACTTGCTGTGCTTTGTGGTTGAACGCTACCCATCATTAAGACATCAAGCCACATCAAGTCTGTACACAGACAATGCCTTGCAAGTTACAATTTTAGCAATAGAACTGGTAAGGTATTTCTCCATTATTTTTGTCTGAGACACTGTGGCTAATCAATTCACAGGTAAAAACTGATGACTCGTTTTTTAACAGTGCTTCAGCGAATACTAAATTGTAAGCATTGTGGCAGTCATTTACTAGTCTAATCTAAAGTCATCCAGACCCCTGTTTGGAATGCTTTTAAATGAGTACAAACAAAGTCCATCATCTATCCATTTTCAGATACAATTTAATCCACGCAGCCCGCTATCTCCTTCACTCTTGTTTGGTTAGGATATTTACATGATATTTTGCTTCTCGAAAGATGCAGGGCTTCTCTGCTCTCAGCCTCCAGTACACTGACAGCTCAGGACACTGCAATTAACAAAGCAGCTTAGATATGTGATGTTTCATATTCCTTGTTGAAGTAGGTTTCTCCCTCCTTTCTCCGGAAGAAGCATATCTGGTGTTTTGTTCTGTAATTGCCTCTGTTTCCACCCCCCGGGGTTGGGTTTTAAATAAAATAATAATTAAAAGAAAACAACTATGGAGACCAATACAGTGTTGTGGTAAGCTGGAGCCTAGCCCATCAGACACAAGGCACAAAGCAGAGTACAACCTGGATAGGATGCCAGTCCAACAAAATGCATGTGCACCTGTGTACAAAAGAAAACTAGTTCCCCCACCCCAAAAAAAAAGAATTCAAAATATTTTACAAATGTTAATCCATGTTGGAAGAAAAAGGTTACCAACTGCTGAAAATGTAATTTGGCTTGCAATTCATTAATATATACTCTGTTCAATCGCGTATATTTTCCCCCACAGACGACGATATCCACGTGTTGAACAGCTATCGCTATTCAGAATAGTGCCCCGTCTCAAATAAATACAAGTTAATGTTTACTAGTCATTTAAGGGCAACTGCTTACTTTGCACCGTCAATGGTTTTGTCAATACATACAGTATTGAAGATATAGGATTTACTGTATGGGCACTTTGTATAAAATTAGTTTCTTCCAGGAAGTAACCACAGTAACTATGAAACCCTCAGTTCGTGGGTCCAAACCTCTCATCCCTATAGGAAGATATTCCATGTTTAGGTCTACATCCTTCAAATATCCAAGGATGAGTGTCAGCCAGTCTGTCCTCTTGTGTGAATCTTTTGGTCTTGGGTGCCTAATCAGCCTTCCACAGCACCTGAGGTGCTTTATTGTTCTGGTGCTTTTTCTTTGAATGGCATGACGCATCAGGGATACACGCGATAGGAACACACAGCTTCCCTGGTAAAGGGGTTCCCATGAGTTTTTTCTCCCCCACCAAACGCACAGGAGCCACGTGAGAAATATAAGTTAGTTGTTTCACTTCATGCCAGGAAGACATTTGGTCTCCCACTGAAATGTTTTATTGCATTATCATCTGTGTTTTGACTGATCTTACTTGCCTAATGTAAGGATTCAACAAGTGACAAATGTGGTGGAAACAAATGACAAATTAGCCATCATGGAAATTTCAAACTTCAAATTTC